CTGTACCATAAAACAAGACACATTCTCCCATTTTACTTTTTTTTTTTTTTTGAAGTGCACTCTGTAGTGAACTGTCACAGATCAGAAGTATGAGCTCTTGCATCCTACACTTTGTAGCACTTGCTTTGAAAAGTATGACTGGGGCTCAACTAATTAAAGATCCCATTTTTACAAGACATATATGTAACAAGTCCTGAAAACAATCTTAATTCTGCAGACTGCTCGGGAAAAAGTTGTACCACAAACTACTCCCATTCATCTCAATGGGGAATTAGCTACAAAACCTGAAGACAAAGATATCTGAAACTTTCACTACCCTACTAACAGATGTAGCATAAGCTTTCAACCAAAGCAGCTGTAATAACTTAATTATTTCCTACATAGCTAAGATTATCCCCTAATGTAAGTTAGATAATCCAGTCACATCATCAATACTGACAAAAACTTCATTTCCTAATGTTAATGTCAGTGAAAGGATGCCATTCGATCTAAAAATAACAATACTAAGATTTTAATAGCATGAAAGCACCTTGAAAAAAGTTAGGAACTTAATTTCGCTCTTGTTGCAAAGTGCAGAGGCAGCAACACATCTGAACGACCACAGTGATGATGTTTAAACCTGGAACTAGTACTTGACTATGTGAACTCAGGTCAAGTAAAGAGGGAATGTAATGCAACTCCCAGAAGGGCAAGCCACACCACTTGGGTTCTAATAAATCTTCAAATTGTGCTATGGTTATAAGCAGTTTTTGCTGTTATTCCCAGCAAACACCAGGTCCTCTTGACTACTGTGCTGTCCTAATGAAACAGCGCACCTTAAACTGCCCCAAATGCATCGAAGTGTCAATTAGAACCGAGTTTAAGAGTAGAAGTGGGGCAGGTAGGGCAGCACTGCAGACACATCCCTCAAACACAGCCCCGTGTAAAGGCATTCAGGCTCCTAGGTGCTAGCAGGTGCATGAGTGTGCTGAGCTGAAAACAGGCTGAAAGTGTCACTTTAAATGCCTTCAATAAAAAGCCACTGCTGCAAATCCTACCAGAGACTTAACAGCCAAGCTTCTGAAGCCAAGAGAAAGGCAAAGCAATAGGAAAGAAGAAAGCAACATGGTGGCATGAAGCAGCAACATAACAAAGAGTTGTTAAAAGACAAGGAAGAAGATACCAATCAAAAAGGCAAAGTGTGGGAGATCAGTGTGCTGGATCATGAATTTCAGAAATGCAAGCAATATCCTAGAGCTGTAAGGCAAGGTTTTATTACATGTAAATCATTAGCAACCCAGGTCAGTTTAGAACCTGTCCGACTGCTAGGAAAAGGGAAAAAGTGACTCTGATTTTAAAAGTAGTTCTCACCCTTCCTTGGCTGAGAAGAACGTATAGAAAAAAGAAGCCAGAACAGGGGACAATGATGGTAAAGAGTTAAAAAAAGCTAAGAACTAACATACACACTGGAGCTGGTGATAATCATTTATCTTCAACAGACTGAAAACAGGAAGGATTAGATACACTGAACGAATGACAGAAGACTGGTCAACATGCCAAAATAGGTTTACAAAAGTAATTTCTGACCGTTCCTGTCTTTCCAGTCAAGGGCTATCAGCTCAGAGATGGAGGGAGCAGGAACACCCCAAAGCTACAACAGTGTCACAAGTCAGGAACGAGGAAAAGCAAAACCAGACAAACAGCATTACATTAAGGTTAAGAGATGGCATTAAAGAAATCTAGATTAGAAATACATATGTAGTGAGTAGTGGAGACAAGTGTTCTCCAAACAATGCAGAATTTTTCTTTTCCAGTCAAGGTTGACTGTCTTTCCTAAAACATACACTGTTTGAAATTGGAATTAATGTGGGGACATCACAGGCAATGCTGGGCAGAGGATCAGATCAACTGGTCCAAACTGTACTTTACATCTTCACTAATTTATCACTCACAAGGAAAGAAGGTATTTATATTTTTTACTACATGTGCAAGGAAAGGAGTAGACAGAACACAATAATTCCTTTTAAATTTAAAGTCACATCTACTCTTGACTCTGCTTTTGAGGATCTCCAGCCTGAGTAAACTATTTCTCACAGGGCAGTTCTTGCACCTGTTATTCTAAACCAACTGCATTGCTCTCAGAGCAGAGTTGCAGTTTCTTACCCATTTTTCCCACCCCAAGATGTTGAGACTTGTGGCTCTTAAAGCCATCATTAGCTTTTGCAAAAAAAAAAAAAAAAGTTTTGAACACAAGCTTACACACTTCCTAATGCTATCGCTGCCATCAAATTAGATAGCTAATACTTTAAACAGTCCTACTCAAGAAAAATCAGAGGCCTTTTTCAGATGAGACCAGAGCAGTAACCTGGTTAACCTCAGCAGGCAAATTCCCCTGCTGGGAGTCTCCAGGAGCAGAAGCACAGGACTGCTGTGAAATGTGCTGCTGGGGACTAATGGATATTCTCTTACCCAAGTACCTTCAAAATCTGTCAGTAACACATCCTCCCCAATAGCAAAGATCCCAAACCACCTGATGCTGAACACTAACTTTTTTCACAGCTTTAAGTCATCATTAAGCAATTAATCACCACCCAAGAAAACGCCTTAAGCAACAAAGTTGAGATGCTGCAATGCTGGTAGCATTTTGCTCTGAGTAAGGTCTGCAGCACTCAAGCACACTACCTTAGCATCAACACGTGGAAGATCTGAAGTACAACCAAGAACAGTGTACCACATTAAAAGAATAATGTATGTAACGCTGTGGAAAAGGCTTCCATCACCAATCAGTCAGTATCAGATTCATTCTCACAGCATGTTTGTTTTACAAACCCAAAATACTTGGAGGCTATGAGGTAGATGCTGTCCTCAAAGTACCATGAGAATTTACACAAACACTTCAGGTTGTTGGGTTTAGGAGTTTTTTTCCCCCCAAGGTCACAACAAGGTTTACACCCAGCAGCATTTTGCTCTGTAACTACTCTCCTCTATTCAAACAAGGGAGTGCTGCTTGTGAGCACTACTTATTCTAACATGATAAAGCCAAGGCACTGTCCACAGCCCATTTCGAGCATGGTCCCCATCATCCCTCACATTCAGAGAGGCCCATTTTCCAGTTCCTTCAAGGCATCCAAAGGGGCTCTTCTAAATCTCAGCACAAGGACTCTACCAACAAGTCACTCATCTGGTTCTTGAAGCATTTAAAATTGTATTGAGGTTATTGTAAATTCCTTAACAGCACAGCAAGACTGACAACCTTGGAGAGCTACATAGTGGATCAAACATCAAACTCAGATGAAGGGGTGTCATGCTATAAACTGAACGTGCTATGATCAGAATCTCCCAAGAAAAGCAGCCTGGTACTATTGACCAGGAGAATCTCAAAGTCCACTGTATTCTTTGGCACAGGGAGTGGTTTTGAAATATTCCTTCTAGGAGATGTGAATTGAAAAATAAAAGTGAAGGGAAAACCACGAAATTTCACCCAGGCCATCATCTGTTCTATGTCCTTTGACTATAGCATGGATAGAAGAAATAGCTGGATGGTTCTGAGAACCTAGAAAAGGAAAGAGAAATTAAAATCTAGCTAAATATCCACTGTGATGTCAATTCTCATACTTCAGTATGCATCAAGCACAAGTAAAAGGAAAAGAGGATGTTTTGCAATTACCAAAATTTGCTATGCATATCGAGTAGAGAGTCATGAATACTGCTGGTTTACAGGACCAAACATCACAGGAATGATTTTCACCTTTCACATATCCATTCTGAAGTTCAGGATCCTTAGATCTAATGTGCTTCAAGATAAAACTAAGCACTCTTGTTAAACCAACTCTGATTCCTCTAGCCTGATTGTGCTCTTGTATTGTACCCAAACAATCCCAATTCAGAGTAAGGTCAAAACTGATGAGAAACACAAAATTTACTAAACACACCATGTATAATTATGACCTGCAGAATTTACAGGTATATTTAAAATACTCTGTTCTATAAAGTTTAATAGACTGTGCACATTATGAGAGCTCAATTTTACAGGAAACCCTATTAATTTTAATCTATCCCAGGTGAACTTTAAACATTCAGTATTTATAAAACTTAGAGATATGAGCAGCCAGTGTCTTTTGAAAAGACACTCATCATCTCTGACAAGTTCGGGAAGTTTTGAGCTTTAAATGTAGGTGTTTGTATTAGGCTCCTTTGTTTACAAGTATACATTCTGCTTCCCTCATTTGCAATTCCACCTTCACCCCCTAATTCCCATACACTTGCTGTCCTATGTTCTTGTTTGGTCACTAATAAAAATACACTGCTCAGGCACACTAAACTTCAGATTATATCACAGTATATTTTCAGTATTGGTCTCTGCCCTCCTTTTACCTGATGCTTACATAAACAGCTTCAGACTCAGAGAAGCAGCTCTACCCCAAATACTCTATTCTGCTTAACTGGACATGGTGGGTGCAGACAGCAGCCACTGCCTGAGCTAGAAGAGTCTGAAAGCACTGCTAGGCAAACTACAGCATTCCCCTAAAATGCATAAATATGTTAGAGAAATAATACAATAAACATTATTTCCATAGCACTGTTAATAGTATCGATAAACGATTTTAGTCAGCTAAAAAGGAAGTTAGAAAAACTGATATAATCAGACAAAATTCAATTTGTTTTCAGATACAGTATGCCTAATCCCATCCCCTTCACCCCTAAGGAATTAAAGCATGCAACTCAATTGTAAATTTAGGAAGGTAAAGTATGAAAGTTATATTTAAACAATTAAGCAGGAAAAATCTGAGAAGTAGTCAAATTTTTAAACTTAATCTTTTTTAGCTAAGTATTACCACAAACAGTGGTAAATTCCTCTCCAGGCTCCTGACTTAATCTTCTCTGGATTGCAACGTATAAGCCCTCCTTTGTTGGCTGCAGTATTTCAACCCCTGCTGATGTGTCAAAAACTGTGAACATTAGGCAAAACACAAATAGGATGCACTGTATCAGATTTTTTCCTTTTTTACCTTTTCCAGAAGATGAGAGCAGATACGACAGAGAGCAATAACACCAAATCCAGTGCTCCCCTCCTCTCCCAAAGATACCTGAGGATGGTCACTAAGGATGGACACAGCACATTCCAGATGGATGGTGCCCAAGGAAAAGGTCTGGCATACCTCCGAGACGCATGGGGAATATTAATGGACATGCGCTGGAGATGGATGATGCTTGTCTTTTCTGCTTCTTTTGTCATTCACTGGCTAGTCTTTGCAGTGCTTTGGTATTTGCTGGCTGAAATGAATGGGGACCTGGAGCTGGATCATGATGCTCCACCTGACAACCACACTATATGTGTCAAGTACATCACCAGCTTCACAGCTGCCTTCTCCTTCTCACTGGAGACACAACTTACAATTGGTTATGGCACTATGTTCCCAAGCGGGGACTGTCCCAGTGCTATTGCCCTGCTTGCAATACAGATGGTCCTGGGGCTCATGCTGGAAGCCTTCATCACAGGTAATCCTTCATGTTTAATCTTGACATAAAATAGCTTTAACAATTAGATTTAACAAATGGAAGTAGAAATAAACAGTGATCATACTGATATCTGAAAGAACAATTAAGTCAGTCACTAAAAGGATGATGAGATTGCACCTATGTAGTAAAAGTTAAGCACCTTTCACTAAGAGAAAGTTAGTCAAGTCCCAGACTGGGACTTGACAGTTCCACTACTTATTGGTCAATATGTGGCAGCTCCCCACTTATCACTCTCAATCACTTATTTCTTATACCATTATCTCCCCAAGGTTTTTCCATGAAATTACAATATTTAAAGACAACTTGTTTTGATTAATAGTTTTAAGGTTTACTTTTGTCTAGCTGAAGTATTTCTGTTGATCTTTAACTCAAGTGTTTAGGTATTCCTCAATACCCAACGTACCAAAACTTTTTTGACAATGTCATAGCTAATTAGAGGTATTTCAAGTTATCGAAAATAATTTTCAGGTTTAAAGTACTTCAGTAGACTTAAAAATACATGTTAATTTACTGTGTATTAAGAAAGAGCTTCTGAGTGGTACCACACCAAGATCAGGTATTCTTACCCATTACAGTAAATTGGGGCAAGCTAACAACTCTCCTTCCTACAGCCACAGTTCACTCTCCAAGTATTAATAAGTGAACATAGCTTAGGAAAGGCATTTTAGGAAAACTATACTTTTTAAACAAAAAACGGGTCGGTGTGATGCCAGCCTAGCAATTTTCAAACATGCAGGCTGAGGCTAGAAATACCCCATCCAGCCAAGCCTGCTTCTGTTCCTCTGGACTGTTTCAGAGCTGGGAGGCTGCAGGGAACCAACCCAGGCACAGTGCTCAAATTCAGTTTGTTCTCTCCCGTGACACAGGTGCTTTTGTGGCAAAGATTGCCCGCCCAAAGAATCGGGCATTCTCCATCCGCTTCACCCGCTCTGCTGTAGTGACCCACACCGAGGGGAAGCCATACCTTATGTTCCAGGTGGCCAACACGCGCTCCAGCCCACTGACCAGTGTCCAGATTGCTGCTATACTTTACCAAGAACAGGAGAATGGGCAGCTGCACCAAACTAGCATTGACTTCCACCTAGACAGAGTTACTTCAGACGAGTGTCCTTTTTTCGTCTTTCCGCTGACTTACTACCATTCAATCACTCCATCCAGCCCCTTGGCTGCTCTCCTTCAAAGAGAAGCTGCTCACCATTTTGAGCTGGTCGTCTTTCTGTCAGCTGTGCAGGAGGGCACCGGAGAAATATGTCAAAGGAGAACATCCTACCTTCCCTCAGAGATCGTGCTGTACCAGCGCTTCGCCTCCGTGCTAGCCCGCAATGCCAAAGGTGAATATCAGATCAAGATGGAGAATTTTGACAAGACTATTCCTGAGCTCCCAGCTGCAGCTGACTCAAAGAGTCCAAAAAGGACTGCCAAGGAGATCCGCATCAATGGACAGCACAGTGACAGCTTCCAGCTCTCCGAGACTGGCCTCATAGAATAGAGAGAACAGACCTTGAACTTCATGCTTTTTTGATTATTATTACATTAAATTTCCAGGTTGCATTTACAACCTTCCTTCCTTGAATGCCCTGCCATCTTCTAGTAATCATTCTCTTGTACTCCCACACTTGTGATTACAACAATACGCTGAGTGAAGAGAGCTGGTGTGCTCATGTAAGCTAAGGAGAGGCTGGCTTAACCACCCAGAACAAAGTCAGGTACAAGAATCACGGTACGGATTCTTGGAAATTAAAAGAGCTACCTGCTGAATTCACCAGACTATGATTAAAGCCGCAATGACCCTGAAAGGAGACACCCTCAAAACTCCCAAAGCTGACCAAAATCATAATTAACCAGCTTGTGACAAAGTATACAATATAAAAGAAAAGCCTCAGTCAAAATCAATACAGGGTAATTCAGTAAATATATTAATTCTGGGATAAGCAACTCTGTTCATTCAAGATCCTAATCTTCCTGTTCTCTTAATTCTTTGGGGATACAGGGTTGTATCAGTTTTCAGATGGCTGAATTCAGTCTTAGAAAATACTGCCAATCTCTTGTGGCAGTGAAAAGCACTCCTGCTGTGTTTATTAAGCAGAATTGTAAATACTAACTATAGTTCTTCATTCTGCCAAGTGAGAGGAGATCATCTCACCTCAAGACAGGTCTGTGCAGTCACTATCAAAAAAATCTTTATGTATATAACAAATGCTGCGGTGGAAATTTTTTCGTATTTGGAGACACTGAATAAATTATTTAGTGGTGGAAAACAAGACTATTCCAAATGAATTGATGTACATTTTTTACAGGGCCATACGCTCCACGTGTTCTCCCCTTCGCGCTGCTTGTCTCAAGTAGGTCTGACCCAGAAGGGTGCACTATATACACAAGAACTGCATCCACTTCTATTTTATGCTTTTTAACATCAATATTTGCCTGTAGACACAACACTAATATTTAGAGCCACTTGAATTTTAAAATAAAAAATGAAATAAACTATACATGAGACTTTTTGTATTTAAGTACCTCATGAACGTACTGCAATTAAGACATTGTTCTGAAGCTTCTAAATAATTTAGGAAGCTAAAGGATAAACGGAATGACGAATAATTATTTCCAAGCTCCCAACAAAAGCAGTGCCCATTACGTGTTGATACTTGAACACTCAAGTATCAACCGACATAAAGTAAAAGTTAACTTTGCAAAGGTAAAAGGCTTTTCCCAGAAACCAAGATGCTATGAACACTCATTTTCACTCACAACAGCATAGCACGCTACCAAACATGCTTCCCTCTAACTTCAGCGAGCTGGTCAGCAGCAGGAAAAAGGGTCTGCAGCTATCTGATCAGATACTGTTTGACTGAATTCTTCAAGTCCCAAAACTTGGTTAATTGAAGTGTGTTCACAACCCAAAAGATTAGCAAAAAGCTGCTTTGTTTTAGGGTCTGTGGAAATGGGAAGCAGCCCCATAGAAGCATTTCACACGGGGAGGGGGAACAAGACAGAAGGCCAGTGTTTTAGCTGCAGTAAAGTTCTCATTCAAAGTCAAGCATTACCTCCCTATGTTCCAGACCTTAGACAGATTTGGTTTTATTACAACTACTCTCAAAACATCTTTTTTTTTTTTTTAATTTAATTGAAAAGGATTCATGAATATTGTGGAACTTGCAGAGCAACACACTACCAAATCACACTGACTTCAACCCTACTTTTCCTAGCTGTTGACCCATACGCAGTCTAAAGATCTCTTTTCCCCACCCCTATTAGTGCCAATATTTTTAACTATTTCCTGCAAATATTATGTCAATTTTCTCTCCCAGTATAACACACTGAGAAGAGTCTCACAAATTAAGAACCAGTGCAAGACCAATTGAACAGATCCCTGTGTTAAGTCTGAAATGACTGTTTAGGAAAATAAAGCAGCATTCTGGGTGGGTCACTGTTCTTCCTACATATCACATACTACAGTCTCAGGCAATTCAACTGTTCTAAAATTCGTATGTATAATGCCAACAGAAGCGTACTATAATCTCACCATTTAGAGCCAACTATAGCCTCACCATTTAGATCCAAAGCTATAAAAAACTATTTCTAATTTCAATTAACATCAAATTGAAGCGTGGGCTGCTTCATTCAGTTTCTAAACGTCTTGATATTTTAAAGTTGTCCCGTCTTTTAAATAATTCTTTTTACAGATTTGGTTTAAAAGGAGACACAGCAGCAAAAGAAAAAAGTGTTTAGTATACCATAAATGCAGTCTTCAAATATTACATTTGGAATGTAAAGCTGAAGGATACTACAAAAACAAATCAGACAAACAACTCTATTTCAGAACAGCTGCAGAACAAGGGGTAGACAAAACACCTTTACTGATTGTACAGTTCCAGAGAACTGGTGAACCATGGATGTCTCATGAAGTACTGGAAATATGCCATGGCCCAAATCAGAATACAAGCCTAGAAAAATTGCTGATAAGAGTCTGCTGCAGCAAAACCTCACTCTACACTTTGTCTAACATCGCAAGAGCAATGGTGATTGTTTTGGTTGTACTTCTCGCTAGCAAGGTAGGGAAGAAACACAAGCCAGGTAGAATAAGGGAAAGTGTGACTCAGAGAAACTCAATATCCTTTTTATATGCACTTGAGCTATATCCAAGTCTTCTTAACCTAACCAATAAATACACATTAAACAGAACTCAATCAGGTCCCACAACTGACTTTCTAGATGTCTTGTTTAATCTACATTACAATTATTTATCACCAGTGTGTAATTGCTGGTAACTAATCAAATCCCCTCAGCTACTAAGCTGGTATTAGTCAAGAGGCCGCACAGAAAATTAAGCAGCTTTTATGCCGTTGTAAGACACAGCCGTGATCAAGAAAACAACTTGCTCATTTTCTTTGCTAATAGCCTCAGCCTTTCAGAAACAATTTGGGTGCTCAACGAACAGTCAGAACTGTGACAATCCACAAGAAACTTGCAAATACTTGGTGCATCTTCAGTGTGCACACTGAAACTAGGAACAGGTAATGTTTATGTTGAGACTCAGTCAATTGTGAACTAGCAACTGTTGAGAGCACCAAAAAGGCAACAGATTTTTAATAACAGCATGTTGATCATATTTGAGAAGTAATTATTTGTTGTATTACTCTAACCTCATGACTTAATTGAAAGGTTCTTGCATTGTCATCCATTATGACTGCCCAAGATTTTTAGTATTTTGTCTCTTGTTAATTCCGTAATTTGATCACCCAGAACAAAGAATATGAAAGAGTTGACAAATCAGTGAATTATGTAATTTTAGGCTAATCCAAGGCCCTACAAAAGAGGAATGAAAAACCAAAGCACAATAAAGTTGAAGTCCACAGAGAAGTTTCTTTAAGCAGGGTAACAGAAACCACCATATGGTGGCATCTGCGAAAGCACGTCAGCCGGCATCATAACCTGCATGTCAATGCACTCCTCGATCTTTCTGCTTCCACTGCTCATGTGGAAAGCTACTGCTTGGTATTAAGGTGGGAAGACTTCTGACACATGTGTATCTCTTTCTCAAAATCTTGTGTCACTGGAAAGCCTTCGCCTAAGAATAACTGTTTGTTTATTCAATAAACTATTCATCAAGACTCAAATCAAAACAGACCAACACCTGCTGTTAATATTTGCGTGCTCTCCATCTTATTTCTATTTGAAGGTAAAGAGGAGAGAACTGGTTCCTCTGCCTACTGGGACATTAATCTAGATAGGCCAACAAAAATTATTGTTAAAACATCCTTTAAATATTAAAGCTTCAGAAATACTGCAAGTCTCTTGCCTATATAATACTGTGCTACCAAGTTTTTAGCTTCAAACCAGAAGAGAAATGGAACAAAAGACTGAAGAGAAGCAATCAGGTACTCGAGGAGTGTCATGATTTGGGAAGAAGTACACCATCCCTCACAATGAACCAGGCCTTCCAACACCACACATAGGGACAGTCTCCTCTAGAAAATGCTTCACAGAAAACAAGTTCCATAGTCCTGCTCACTAGTAGTTGCTAAAAACAAGACATGCTCTGCATCTGCTGAAGCGTTAACCCCCACGTTTGGGCAGACATCAGCATCAGTAAGGGCATCTTGCGTACTGTAAACTCTTCTCAATCTTAACTGAGATACATCTCACCCTAAACTGACAGGAAGTATTTTTATCACATTCTTAATCAGCAGTGTGGTACATCCTATGGTGTGGATCTGCAAGTTTTGTTTTATCACAAAACCAAGAAAAGGGTTAAATAAATAAAACTGAATCAACCGTGATAGATACTATTTTTACATCCATTTGCCTTTTGTAAAAAATGCAGTCCTGAAATCTCAGCAATACTTATTTTTTCCTGTTTTTCATTTTTGTCCAAAAGGTCTGTGAATATAAAGACTACACTGAAAGTCCAACATTTCACTACTGGCATTTAAAGTCGGACAATCTCAGACCAATCTCTAATTATTTTTAGAAGTAACCTCTTTTTGAGAAAAACAAACAGCATCTTAGTGTTCTGTTGACTTTCAACTGTAAAAACAGAAAAATAAATATAATCACTCTTTAAAAATATATGAAAAACCAATTTCTACATGAAGAGAAGATTGTGAGGGCTTTGAAGGCAAACATGGTAACCTAACACTCCCAAGGCATGCGCCACCTACATAACCTGCAACATTATTAAAATGGAAACTACTCTCACTAAAAAAATACTGACAGCTTAGCAGGGATTAAAATGCACTCCTGACAACTTTTAATTGCAACTGAATCTTTCTGGGTTTGTCTTTAAATTCAACCTGCAAAAGTCTTTCAGAATCACAGAATCATTTAGGTTGGAAAAGACATTTAAGATAAGAGTCCAACCATAAACCCAGCACTGCCAAGTCCACCACTAAACCATGTCCTTAAGTGCCACTCAACCATCTCCCTGGGCAGCCTGTTCCAGTGCTTGATAACCCTTTCAGTGAAGAATTTTTTCCTACTATCAACCTAAACCTCCCCCAGCACAACTTGAGGCTGTTTCCTCTTGTCCTATCACTTGTTATCTGGGAAGAGACTGACACCCACCTCGCTACAACCTCTTGTCTTCTGACCTATGCTTTACCAATACATTCACTAAGGAGGATATTTAGCCAAGACTCCTTCAGCAAAGACCAAAAGATCCTCTGGGTCCTAAAAGGCAAGACTCATTATCAGCAAGCTTGTATTAGTAGAAAGCAGAGCTGTGGTACATGCACGTGGAAACAAGCCACAGAAAAAGAGCAAGATCATACCAGAAAACGATCAATCCATGAACACACAAAGCCCAAATCACCATACGTGCAATCTAAGTTGCTAGAGGGGAACCTGAATGTTCTTATCGCTCTCAGAATGTAAACTGGGTATGTTCCAAGATGACAACCCACTCCAAGTTCAGCTGAATGTTCAGACAGACATACTGGGTCAAAATTAAGGATCCAGTATTCTGCCTGACTGTGGACAATGTGAAGCATTTAAGCAACAGGAGAGGAATGGTGGAAAGGGGCACCAGATTCATGTGATGACTAACTAATTTGACAGACGGTAATTTTACCAGCATGGGAACCTCAACATTGCTGTGGGATCTCTTTCACTCTAGCAAGCACTCAAAAAGCTAACGGTTCCCATGGTGCAGAAGTCCTAGGTACCAAAATAGCAAAGGCCAGGAATGGTAAAGACTCCTTTCACAAAGGCACAGGACTTGAGTTCCAGCTGTAGGCATCACATCTTAACTGAATAAACAGAACCTACTTACTGTTGATTTATCTAAAGCATTTAAATGCCTAACAGTGAAAACAACACAAAGTAAGAAAAACAACACTCTGAGAACATATTTAGGTAACCTGACACATATCAGGAGTCTTGTATCAATACACTCGGAGTAATAAGAAAGGTTTATGCACATATAGGTCCCTTCCCCAAAACACATCCTGCTCCTCCCTCCCGTTTTCTGCCCGTACAGTAACAAAACCATACCTGGATCTTTTCGCCCTGGTTTTTCAAAGCGTCTGTCTCCCCTAGAAAGGCAGAATAAAAGTTTCCAATAAGATTTTTGAACTAGTCCACTGGCTTTGGGTATGGCGCTTTTTTTTTTTAACTTGGGGGATGCTTTTTTTAAAACTCAGAGCTGGATGGACAGGACCTTTAAAAGTCCAAGTAACAGCCATAGTTTTCAGGAACACCAATTCACACGCTGCCTTTGGCAAGTAGGTGTGTTTTGAAGTGTGACCCTAAGTACTGTCAACAACAGTGAGACTAAAATTGAAGTGAATCCTTTAGCTATCCGTGTATTTTCATCCATCATTTCCACCACAACTATCATAATTTATGTTCTCTTAAAGTATTTGCTTCTTCCCAGTAACTCAGCAGAAAAATTCTTGCAAAAATGTTCTTCTACTTGCTCCTGAGTTTTAAGAAACATTACTGGTTGGACTCCATCACAGCAATGCAGACACTCCACTCACAGATACACCTAATCACCTTTCCTGAAGTGTTTTTATGAACTCAAAAGGCACAAATGGAAGCTGAGCAGACATATGTAAAAAAACTTTAAGGGCTAGAGTGATGTTACCTTTCCTCCCAACTCTGTGATCTGTGCATTTCCCTGCCCCCTCCTCGCCCAAATCCACCCTCCACTTCATCAAAACTTCTTTGGTAGAAACCGCTTTCTCCTCGGCCTCTGCCTGAAAAGACAAAAAAACACAAGTGTTTGTACAAATAATAAGAGAAGATAGAAGAGTCAGGTAGGTTTCCCTTTCCTGGTGTCCTTGTGAACTAATCTTGCAGTCTTAAAGCCCAGCGAAGTAATCTGGGGCAAAGGGAAAAAGGAACAAAGACTGAAGAAAGAGTCTTAGGTAAAAATTCTCATCAAGAAGCACAAGATCAGACAGAACAGGCAAATAACTCTGAAACAAACAGTTTGCAGAAAAACACAGAAAACAGGTACTTACCCAACAAAATTACCAAACAAGGATGCATTGTTCACACAACATCCACCCCGTACACTCATAAACCAGGTCACTTTTAACAGCGGAATCCAGTATAATGGTACTGCACTGCAGATGTACCCATAATTACTGCTGTCAAGGTTAATAAGGGAGAAGGGAGCTTTACCACTATTCACTTCTAGTGATTCCCAGCAGAAATCTCTGCCATGAGCAGCGGGGAGAAGAGTATAGGCAGAACAGCATGAAGAACCCCAATACCTATATCATAAAAGTTATCCTCCTCAGTTTTTCAAGAAATGATTCTTGATAGGTGGCTACCAAGTGTCAAGCCTCAAGCAAAAAGTCAGATGTATGCTTCAGTGTGTGGGTAGGCATGGGGCATTTGGTTAAAGAAACAAACAAAACCACTCCACACACAAGAGAAAAAACAACCCCCACACACATCCCTAGACCTTCAAGATCGCTTCCAGCACTGGTTAGGTCAATGGCTGGGTTGAAGTTCCCATATCTACACAACAGATTAAACGCTGCTTCACAAAGTACTACAGCAGAAGAAATGGGAGGTTTTTTACCAGCTAACTTACATTTCAGGGATCTCATGGAAAGAAGATAAACAGGTGAAACACATCAATCAGCTGATTCTCAGGATAACTACTTTCCTACATGCACATGCAGTCTGTATAGTCCAGTCCAAGAACCTAAAAAACACTTGATAACAGGAACTCCTGACTGTAAAACTAGCACAATCCTCAATCCTTTCATACTTCTCTCTTCCTGGCTTCAAGAAAAGAAAGAGCTCAAAGGATGAGGCACAAACCAGGCCACAGATCTGGACAAGTAAGACAGATTGACCAAATGAGGCAGGAAATAAACACCTTGAGAACAGACTCCAGCCTCTATAGTCTTCTGAAGGAAGTAGTTGTAATAAACCTCTACATCTAAAACCTAAAGACCTCAGATGCATCAAGGATCTGTACCATATTTCAGCATCTTATGAAAAGAGGCCAAAAAAATGGAAATAATTAAGGCAGTTGCAACAGGTTTTCTACTATTCTAGAAAAAATCTCAAAGAAAAAGTAATTGACAGATAATCCAGTCACATACACATGGGTTTCCTATCAGTGCTCCTTTTAAGGAGCCCATAAAGTTCATGACTGTACAATTTCTCCTTCTGCTTCAAAACCAGGATTTAAACATCCTCTTTGGACAAACCTATCCTGTCCCTAGCACCAGCAAAGCAGTTCAGTGATAGACTGTCTTGTCACATAGATGCAAACTTCCTTACAACAGAGTTTTGGGGATGCGCAAGTCCAGACCAGACTGGACAAATCATGAAAAGAAATACACAGATTTACTAAACAGAGACCACATTGGGCTCAGGAAATGCACTGAGCTGCAAATCTTTGGAAGCTGAGCATATGTGTGATACTACTTCACCTCTGTATTTTCACACAGTCCTTATTCTCTTGCCAAGGTGTCTTCTTTTTGCTGTTGCTAAAGATAGACTATTGAGTTAAACAAACCCCTGCCTGATCCAGTGCAGCTGTTCTCACACAAACTCCGGTGGAGACAAGAGTTGAGCACTCACAGCAACAGAGGAAAAACTAGTATCAGATCTTTGACTGTACTAGAAACGCAAATATCTTCACTATGGCAAGTCCAACACTACAAGGTTGACCATCATCATGAGTGCAAAATAAACTGCAAAGGCAAGTGACAGTAAAGGTATAATACAACATCAGAAGTAGCATAATGTTTATTCGGTTCAGGCATTATGGATCCCCTAAGATCCTGGAAAAGGACTTCAAGCTGTTACTCTCCACAAATAAAGCCCAGGAAAGGTTAAGCATCTCATGCAATTGCAATCTTTGCCTAGTTTCTTCACTACAAGAAAGCTCACTTCCTTCCTCTCACAGGAGATAAAGGAAAAGCAGTTCACAAGAGAAAGTCACAGGCAGGCAGAGTCCAAACACAACAACAGGCACTGAATCATGTCTCTGAGGTAGTGGAGGTGGAAACTTGTATACACTTTTCAAACAGAAACAAAACTGAGTATCCTTTTCTCTTTTTTACCGTGAGTGACAGCAATACCCGTAGTGCTCCCCCCCTTGCAGGGTGAGCAAGCATGAATGCACACTGATTACTGACAGATAACAGAACTAGCAGAGCCAGAACGCTGGTGACACGGGAGATTTCATCAGCAAATAAAGCAAATGCCCTGTATAAGGGAAGAACAGAATCGGTTATTTGAACAGCAGCATGGCTTATGGCAGCTTTGAAAGTATGTGAAGTAACAGCCTGAGAAATTTCTCTCCACTTATGCCTCTCTACATCACGGTTCATCAGTATTTCAGTTGTGCTCAGCCATTGGAATGGTCTGAATTAAAAGATAACCTTGCAAAAGGTCTGAACAAATGATCTGAGCAATTCAGTTTAAGATTGCCTGTGGGGCCACACTACTGAATTCCGAGCTGTACTGATGCCACATAGTTCTGTACAGGACCAATTTAAGCCACTTCAGCCCTGGTTGTGTTGCCACCCTCCTGCACTGTGTTCTCCAAGGCATGCTGCCCAGATAAGATAAGAAGACATGCTCATTCGAGAGTTAGCAGAAGTACATGTGCAACCCCAGCAGAAACCGAAGAGACCACTGCATGAGAACCACACTGCATTAAATCAGATTCTACCAAGCTACAGAAGCTAAGTAGGTAGTTAGGGAAAACTATGGTGTACAAAGTCAGTTATTCAGCAACGATTACGTAGATGAGTCTGACCCAAACATGCACAGTGGGAGACAACTGATAATGGTACAATAAACAAAAAAATGCTTGCAGAGAGGATAAAACTGTACATGCAAGCACACTGTTCATCATTTCGTGTCTGCACTCTTGTCTTATTTTTGCGAATTAAATGCTTATTTTACATAAAATGCCACTTCCAAAAAAAATGCCTGGCATACAAGGAGCAGACTTGTTAAGTGTAGATACTGCAGGAAGTACTGAATGTAAAGTCAACAGACAGCAATAAACTGTTCCATTTAAGAACTGAATGGAGCCGCCGTGGCATTTGAATTTCAGTAATTCCATAAAAACCTCCGATCCAGGACTTCAATCCACTGGATCATAACAGCCAAATCATAACAAGACAAAAATGTCTAACCTGAAAACCAGAGAAATCTGAATTTAAGTAGAAAAGACAAGACAAACAAGAGGGTAAGAAGCAGCACGCACCATCCTAATCATCATTACCAAGAAAACCCAAACATTACGACAAGCAAATTCTTGAATTACAGCATGACTGGAATTTAGGATATACAGTCATAGCCATCATACTGTGTGGGAAGAGCAGGATAGCTGTAGTTCAACTACTGCTGTTTAGGTATTAGAACTTTCAACTTGCACATCATTTACACACTTTCAAACAGCAGAAAAGACAGATTACAAAGGGGGAAGAGCTCTAGTGAGAAGCAAAGCAGCCTTCATAAAGGTCTTAACCAAAAAGGAGAACAGCTACAAAATAAGGTGTCTGAGTTTACAGGCCATTCCAGGGACTATTTAAATCTCTCCTCATCTGAGGCTCTTATTCATCAACGCTGACATTCCAGTCCTGCCAGCACAAAGCACAGGGCTTAACTGCCCACCACAGGGAGCTCCCAGGAAAACAAGTCAATTAGAAGGTCACGTGCAAGTACTTGGTTTCTTAAGAAACTAGGCTTCAGAACTAAGTAAAAATGGTTTGGATTTTTGTCTCCACACAAGACACATACAGTATTAATGATGGCAGTTGCACACTGCAAATTGTTTTTAACAGTAGCATCAAGTTGCATTTCAGGACACAGTCGTAAAAATTTTAAACAAACAAACAAAAATCAAAGCAACTTCCACACATTCATTTTCACATCAGCTAAACATAATCACTGTCAGTAAGACTTGTGATGACTACTGAGAAAATATTTACTGAAGGTTAATGCTGTGGTTTTAAATACTGATATGGGAAGTTACAGTTAGAATTCCAACAATAACCTTCCTTTACAAGCAGTTCATCCATTCTTCCCTTTGCCAATCAGCCAGACTCCCTCTCAGGCTCCCACACGCTGCAGTACAATTGTGATTTGTGCCTCAGTGAGCGAACTTAGTAATAATAAAAATCTAATTGCACATGCAAATTCTTCCTTGAAGTTACTCTTGTGCAAGCTACTCCAAGACAGTAATCTTGTTTTGGTAAATCTGAAGCCCCAGTTTGATCAGCAGCAGCTTTGTTGCATACAACGATGTGAAGTTCATGAAAAACACCAGATAACCTTCTGAACTCAGGCAATTCTGCAAATCAATAAAGAAAAATGTGCTCCAACTGTGAAGCGAAGCAGTTCATTTAGTGAACACACTGAAGAAATTCCATCCTTTTCACTTTAACTAGAAAAAAAAAAAAAAAAACAAACAAACCAGAACTACATTTAAAGCTTGCTACTTGCAAGCAACACACTTTTTTTCCAGCAAAGCCGTGAGTATTTGGGCAAAGACAATGATAAATAAGGGGAGTGACAGTGAAATCCAGAGACAGTCTCACAGAAGTTGAAGTGTATATGCCTTTGCAGAGAAGCAACCACAAGAGGACAGATAACACTCGACAAATATCTGGAAGACGTAAGCCAAGAAGAATGCAGGATTAAGGAATGAGAACAGAAATGAGACAAAGTCAGAGCAAAATTCTGGTGAAGCATTTAATTATGTATGGAAGTGATTTCTGAAGATGTTACTGGAAATACCACCAGCTAAGGACATTTAGAATTAACTTAGAAAGGACCCTAAGAGAAACCTCACCTAAGCACTTGCAAAGACAAAGGTTACATGACTAATTACTCCTGATGGTATTTCCAAGTTAATAGCTTTTGAATATTTTAAATGCAACCTATCATATTTATCATACACAAAACTCCCAAAACAGTGTTCACAACAGTATGCACATTATGAACAGTATGAAAGGGAACTGCTAAGATAAATCCTGGATTTAACAATTTGTTTTGAATCTAGTGATACATCTTGAGGACAGTTACTCAATTAATGTCCAAATGTTGAAGATGAGACACTGACTATAGTGATGCACTATAACTGGCAAGACTCAAATTTCTCCCAAATTCAACCATCTTTCCATTAACCTTCTCCTGTTTATTCTCAGGGTGTCAAAAAACAAAAATGACTTTTCAGAACACTGAACATCACCTACTTCAATGTTAATGTTTTCAATATATTTGTGGATTATTTTCCCCTCTCCCTGTAAATTGGTTTTACACCTTTATCCACGTTATTTCTAACAACTCTGAATCAAACAGTTGCCTATTCCACTTCAAAACTACCTTTCCTTTTGCTTTCCAACCTGCCAAAGGCACATAAGACAGGCACCATATGTACCCTAAGGTGGTTCAGAACACATCAGGCTATAAACCAAGCTCCAACATCTTTCAGAAGACTTAACCCGGATCACCTGTATACATTACAGCACATCTCAGTAATAGCTCACCTCGACCTCTAGAGGAACTTCGACCTCGAGGAGCCCCTACCACCGTTCCTCCTCCTCCTCCACGTCCTGTCAACCGCAGGACAGCAGCACTGTTTACAGACATCGAGAAATTTCTCTGCCAAGAAGAAAAAAGAGCCAAGGTGAGATATTATTAAAAAACAAAACAAGATACACTTACCATATCCTCAATTTAACTTAACACCAGCTCTGCTTTCCTTATAGTCATTACAATTTCTCTACAACTGACTAACACTAGCAAGGAAAAGGATTCCTTGGAGACATAAGAAACTGAAGCAGTCTGTAAGAGGATCTTGGTCAATATTAGTGCTTCCAAGTTACTTACCTGAAATTTGTATGTTCTAAAGGTAGCAAGTGAGCACCTACTCTTTTATGAGATGATTCCAACACTGAAGTGATTAGAACATCAGCAGCTCTAAACCAACCCAATTCAGTTGCAAGAACAGATTGGCACCTGCCTATATCTCACACCACTTATTAATACTGACTCTGAACTCACTTCTTAAGCAAAGCAGGAACAGGTAAAGAGCAACAGAACTCAAAAAAAATTTGATTTACCAATCTCCTTTACAGAAGTAAGTCTTCTTCCTCCAAATGTATCAATGGAGTAACATGCTTTGGGGAAAACTCAATGTACTTAACACTTTGGAAATTTAAGTGATCCTCATTTTAATAAGACAATAAACACCAAAAAATGCAACTTCAATACAAAATAATTGCTGAAGGTAAAGCTACTTAAATAAAGTATGGATAATTATAACCAACCGTGGTCCCATTCTCTTGAGCACAAGGAGTTGAAAAACTGGGCCAAACAACTGAGGAGCACATTCAGAAATACTAACAAGCAAACCTGAATTCACACACTTTCGGAATGCAAATTTTCAATAATCAGAATGCAAAGGACTCCAAACAGCTGTCACATCAGGCTTCTTGATAGGAACTTAAAGGAGGCAAATTGCTCAAGTCAACTCAACTGAATTACTATGACTTTGAAGGTCTTCAGAGAAGAATGAAACATGCAATTATATACTATTGAAAATCGAAACAGCTAACATCAAAGCCAGACATCAGAAGAAGTTTTAACCAATTTCAGAAACCAGCCTAACTGCTTGACATGTTCCTCCTACAGAGCAGATCTTCCTTCAAGAAAGAACTGGTAACCAAGTAGACTTGAGGGGCGGTGGGGGGGGAATCCAGTCATGCATGGCAATAAATCTGATTTATTTTCTTAGCTAGGAAAATAGCAGCTCTTACAATTTAAAACAACAACTTCAAGAGTAAGTCCAAATGAACCACCTGCATTTGCCTCTAAGCAAATCACCACTTCACCTACTGTGGATACTTTTGCTTTTTTGTGAAGTAGTGAAATATTTTACTACATAAACAACCTTCAGCTATTGATGAGATCCACTGTCTTGTATAGGCAACTACTGGAAAAATAAGACATCAAAAATTAAGTAAGAACAAAACAGTAATCTCACTTCCTTTTCCATTTATTTTTTTTGTCAGCCTACACTCCAAACAAATTCTCCCTCCCCTCTGCAGAGCTTGCTGTGGTGAAGATGCAATCCTTGAAACCTGCATAGTAATAATAATCCACATGGTGAGATCACAGTAAGTAGCAAAAAGAAAAGTCAAAAAAGCAAAAAACACCATACTATTGATTATTATATTACTTCAGTGTCCGTCTCTGACAAAGCACACCAAAGAGCAAAGCTGCCCTAAAATAGTGGTTTGATTAATTCTTCAGTAGCAAATGGAAGATATCCCAAGAAACAGACATCAAACATAACCAGTGAGGACACAAAAAAACGCCTCCATCACATTCAGCAAGCGCTTGAGACTCCTTTATTCCACAAGCCAATAAGACAACTGAATTATATCCTAAAGACAAAGAAACATGCTGCACGTTGCCAGTGGTGGAAACCTCTGTTAAAGCTATCCAGACACCTTTTCTTCAAAAGACAGATCTTACACAAATTATGTCACATAAAACTTAACCTAAAGCTCAACTGATTCCCCTTGTATTATCTCAGCATCCTTATAACCAAGAAAGTAACATTCTACATAAAAAGGATTAAAAGGACCAACAATTCTGTCCAAAATATATTTATGTCCCATAATAGGGAATACTGTGGCAATAAGTATCTAACTACATTTCACAGGCCTAAACAAATTTAAGCTTATATTCATACAAGTGACATGATCTATCATCCGCCTCGACGTAACTCATCTTTAAACCACCTTGAGGGAGAGCTGACAAGTTCCTCCTGGACATACCAGGAATATAACTACAATGCTATCAGGTAAATAACTCGGGTTGCAAGCAAGAACTGCTCTGAACCTAAGGCTAGAGTAGGCCTAACTGCTTCACCTGAACCCTGCCCCAAAATACATGTGTTCTCACCAGCCTCTGTCTCTCAAGTTCTAGAGGATATTAGTATTCATGGAGGGGGTACAAATGCGTTTTAAAGTCACCTTTATCAACCACAGGAAAAAGTTTTCCTGTGCCATGTCTAGCAGCAAAGCCATTAATATTCACCTCCAGATCACTTCTGAACATCTACTACAGATTTTTGATGATGAACAAAGTTTATTATTTCATGGAGTACGAACACCAGGAATTTCAAGTAATTTAAATAATGCCATTCTGTTGGTATCTCAAATCAGTCATGAAGGGGGGGGAAAAGATCAAGACAAGAAAAAAAGAGATTGTTCACGTCCTCTGAGTTCCCAGAAAGCATTAAAGGAAAGACTTTCTTAAAAAGGGAATACGGACCTCTTCTTTCAGGTTAAGATCTTTGTGGAGATGGTAGAGAACTTAAGCCCACCACAAACACTTCTGCAGGACTGCAAGTGAAACGGAGCAGAAAAAAGCAGTGACACAATGTGCACCATCTCCTCACAAGTTTTCAAGAGGGATGAAGCCCTGGGCACTGCAGCAGAGTACCCCCTACCCCTGAAGCTCAGCAGCACTTACCATCTCATCTGTACCAAGGGGCTACTCAGCACATTTTCAATGCCAGAGCCTTGAACTCGTATTATTCCTCTTGGAGAGTATCTTGACAATCACCAGAAGTCAATGTCCCCTTTAACTGTAAAAGGCTTGTAGTTTACTCTCTGAAGGACTCCACTATGCACCAGCAAAAAGAAAAAATATGTCCAAACGTATTTAACACCAAGGTTCAATGCTTTGGTGTGCTACTACGTGTGTGGCTGACTACCTCCCGGGCTTGCGACCTAAATCCCTCCTGCTCCCACTGGAGCAAGGCTAAAATTTCCCATGAAAGCATATTCTCAATCTCATGTCTAACTATGACATGAAGTGCCTACAGTATATTCACATGAGCTTAAATATGACTGCTGATTAAAAGTTGAACTATTAGCATCTTATGCCAAAGGACAGTATCCTAAAAGACTCAAGAAACATGAATCAACTCTGAAGAGGAAGGAATTCCAGAGGAGGTGAAGAGGATAAGCCAGAATACCCAGGCACAAAAAGATGATGAAAAATTTGAGAATTCAACAGCATGGGACAAAGGAAGGAGGATGCTCAGAAATTTTTAACATTCCCCACCCCTGCAAAAATCAAATTACACTTTAGTCAGTTAAAACACTCATCTATTAGGAAAAAAAAAAATTAAACCACAGTATTTTGGAGTAAGAAAAGTCCTAAGACACATGACAACCCAGAGAGAAACTGCAAAATCAGAAGGTCTGACAGCCATAAAGAGGGAATCAATTCTGAGCCAAAAGTCAGAGGCACTTAACCAGAAAGGGATGGACAGTTTTCCCTGCTAGGAATCGACTTTAAAGCAAGTAGTTTAAAGCTTTCAAACTACTCAGATCAGTCACCCTTGAAAGAGAACCTTTACGGACTACCTGTTCTCACTCGTATCTTGTTCATCAATTAATTATAGACCTATAGTGACCAAACAAGGAAATCATCAAGGGACTGCTTGCAAAGTAGTTAACAGAAAAGTTAACAGTCAAAAAACTTCAACACTTCTCCAAAGACCACAAAATTGGAGTTTCAAAACTGACACTTGTATTACAACAGAGAAAGTGGTCCAAAAATTGTAGAAAAAGTTTCACTGATCTGAAAATGCTGCCTACTTTAAAAAAAAGTAATACTTCCCAGAAGGTGACCTGGATTTAACAAGCTGACTCACTTCCATAACAGAACATTGTATGAACAATATTTGTTCAATTTTAAGATAATAAATGAGCATGAATGGAATTCAGACTTCATGCTAACACAGCAGCTTTCAGAATTTCTTTTCCTGAAATCCACTAATCTCCAATTTTATGGTTTTTTTTAATGGAGGCATACTCTTTTATTTTCCCTTTACACTAATGACAATCTACAGATTTTTAAGAAACAATACTGTTTCTCTGTAAGGATACAAACCTGTTCTTCTTCTGTAAAAGGTACAAGTGCCAGTGGTGGCAGGGGCTCCTCTTGTAAAATAGGCAGAAACTCCTTATCCAGAAGGTCTGAAGGTATCTGTATGAAAGAAAAATAGCATACAGATACTTGAGATAACCAAGTATTTCCATTTCAGCAATTTACAAAAAAATGTTTATCCTGTCAACTGTCTCCATCTACCCGGCTGGTAGACCAGAAGTTCCTCTAACATCTACTGCGGGTGGGTGCAACTCCACCGAAAATTCACATCACCACCACCCCCAAAAAAATTCTTATAGGCAAAACATCCAAAGCACCCACCACCCACAACTAAAATATGTAAAGTGTCAAGTCATATAAATCAGAATTCAAGCTTCCACACAACTGCAGCTCAAATATGAATCAAGTGAAGTTTCATCTGGTAAATTAAAAAAGTTTTAACTTAAATGAGCATTTATAGCCAGATGTTTGCTTAATACATTAACAAAACTACCATATATAGCACAGAGGTTGTACTTGAAATAAAAGTCAGCATTTCCAATTTACAACCAACAAGGAGAGTGGGGGAAAAAAATTGGAACTATAGACATGGATTTATTAAGCAGACAACACTGATGACATAAATCAAAATCAATTTTAGCACTAATTTTTAATCAGTCCATTGTCAGATGGAAGGTCTGTCAGCAGATGTGACCTTGAGCATGTGGACAAGAAGCTGCAATTACAGTTAAGTGAACTCTTAAGTACACCAACAGAGAACAGTTTCAAAAATATCTTGCTCACAATACTAAAGACTTATCCCAATTTGATTTGCAGCAGAGCAATCTAGGGTTTTATTTTTTCATTTGGGTATATGCTAGCAAAAATCTTCCTGCTTTCAATCAGAGCATTTTTTTTCCAGAGACGCAACTTTCCTAATTTTTGGCCACCAAAGGTTGAAGATGCCGCAGTGGAAAAAAGGACTAGGGTACAATATATAGCTTAGGCTTGAAAACATTGCACCTAGTAGTTGAGTAAAAATCAGTGTCAAGAGTCATCTCAGTAACTAGAATTAACAACACTGAAACATGCATATTCCAAGCAAGACATACTCTAATAAAGATAATGCCCTTCTGGCAAACACAAGGGAGAAAGTATTCTTTTGGACCCTCCATAACCATTGGAGATCTTCCTGTAACAGAGGGTATTAATAGGCTGTTCTGAATCAGTTGGAACTTCAGAGGTCTTAGCATCATCTGATATACACAAATTGCAAAAGCCAGTGACCTCTGACAGGCTGACTTGTTCAAGCATAACATCAAGGTTTAAATCACAGCTTCTCAAAGTAGAGCAGATGATTCTGCATGTTAAAGCATGGCTTTAAGCTATAACACACTTAACAGCTCTTGAAAAATCTTTGACATTCAGTGCCCTTCCATCAGCGTGTAAGCAATGCAGGGCCCCCCACATTGTATGAAAGTGTCAGCACAGTCATGGCAGGGTAAGAACACGGGGGTACGTGTGCACACCCATACGCAAAGCTAAAGGCACAACCTAACTATTTCCTGCAGTCCCTTCCTGACTCAAGGGCAAGGTTCTTGTAAGCTATGTGACTGCTGCAACCATAAACCAACCTCTGTCACAGAAAAACCTCATACCTACAAATGCAGAACACAGGAAACATTTGCCTGATATTCTCTCAAAAACGTGACTTTTCTATCACTGCAACCCTTTGTTTAAAATTAAACCAGAGGGAAGTTGTTGACTTTATACGTTGCTCCTCTTTTGTATTACACGTGCTAGATTGTATTTGTGTCCTAAGTCACAGAGAAGTGAACAAGTTGAGGACTGCTCTCGTTAGGCTCGTTACCTGCTGAAATGAACCGCCTTAAGTCGGGATAAATAGTGAGCTCTTGCCTTTTTTAGGTGATCTGCTAATTAAGATTTTTTGCCTGACATTCAAGCTGAATCAAATAAATCTTTTACACTATATTAAATAAAATCCTACTGAGGCAAGCAGATCTGCACAGCTGCAAGGAGTCTTTAACTCTCAGTCATGTGTGGCAGTGGGACTGAATACGATAATCAAATTATTTTTGTTCTCAGGGAGTACAGAAAGTTGCCCCTAAAGTAGCAAAAAGAATCAAACATAATGAATGCAGTAAGAGTGAGATCAAGTAAGCTGTCGTGGTTTAACTCCGGCTAGCAAAATACCATGAAGCTGCTCTCACAAATCCCCCTCCCCTCCTCCAGTGGAGGGGAAGAATCAGAGGAAAAAGAAATAAGGAAGCTCGTAAAATTGAGACAAGAACTATTTACTAATTAAATCTAAATTCATATATACAAGCACTACTAATAATAAATAATTAAAACAATAGGAAATAAAACATATGATACAATATGATACAATTCCTCACCACCCAGTGACCAGTGCAGAACAGGTGTTGAGTAGGGAGAGTCAGACGCACAGAGCCCAAGAGCAATCACAGGCCAAGAGCTGCAGCCCAGGGCCGGAGCCCGAGTGCTGCCACAGCAGATTCCGAGGAAACCCTATCAGCGACAGCACAAGCGGGAAAACTAAACAAACTCACCAGCTCCCTCCCGAATGAGCCAGCGCAGGAGTTAGCAAAGCAGCTAACACAGGAGTCAGGGAGAGGGTTAGTAAGTGTACAGGAGTGAACGAGAGAGTAAGGGAGAGAGGGTAACAGCTCCCAGACCCCCTCCTCGCCTCTGCCCCAAGCACGACGTATTATGGAATGAGATACTTCTTTGGTCAGTTTGGGTCAGGTGTCTGAACTGTGTGTCCCCT